TGCCGCACTTCTTGCCCGAGCCCTTGGCCGCCTTGGCGCCGCCCGCCGCGCTCTTCTCGGGGCTCTGGCCGGCGCTCGGCTTGGCCGCGGGGTCCATCTTGGGCTTTTTCCGCGGCCGGTACTTGTAGTCGGGGTAGTCGGCCATGTGCTTGAGCCGCAGCCGCTCGGCCTCGCGGATGAACGGGATCTTCTCGCTGTCCTTGAGCATCTTCCAGCGCTTGCCCAGCCGCTTGGAGATCTCGGCGTTGTGCATGTCGGGCGACTGCTCCATGATCTTCCGGCGCTCGATCTTGGACCACACCATGAAGGCGTTCATCGGCCGCTTGATGTGGCCCGACGCCGTCTTGCACCAGTCCGGGTCGCTCTCGTCCAGGGCCACCGGGCTGCAGGCCATGAACTCGCCCTCCTCGGTGTCCAGCGCCTCCCGGGGCAGGTTGCTCTCCGCCTCCGCGCCCTCCGCCTGCTGCACCATGATCCGCTGCGGGGCTGGGCGCGCCAGCCCGGGCCGCTCGGTCTCGTGCGGGGGTGCCCCTCCCCCTCTCGCCCCTCCACCTTCCCGGGCAAGTTGCAAAGTCCTCGGCGCCCCGCGGCCGCGGCTCCCCCCCTCCCCCCGCCCCCCCTTCCAGGCTGCACACAGCGGCTGCGACGGCTCCGGCGGCTCCGGCCGCCCGCGCGCGGGGGGCTGCGGCCGCGACGGGAGAGGCGGCGGCGGCGGCGGTCGAGGCGGCCCGGGACCGTGCTCTCCCGCTCGCGGCTCCCGCTGCACGCGCCGGACCCCGAGCACTCCCAGGCGCGCGCGCTCCTTCTGCAAAAAGTTGAGGGCTCTCTCCCAACTAGTTATCAGGGTGTCATATGGGTGACATCACTGCCCGCGCCAGCCAATGGCCGGGCCCCGGGCCCGCCCATCTCCATTTATGAATGTCGACGCCCCGCCCCCGCCCCCGCCCTCGGGGCTGCTTCGCGAAGATGGGGGTGGGGGGCGGGAGGCACGTAGAGAAATATGTTATTTTTAAAAAATCCGCGTGTGTGCACAGATGCGTCTCTCCCCGGGATGCTGGGGGGGGCCCCGCGCACGACACCGCGGCGAGCGGGCGCGCCCGGGGCGACCAGGGCTAGTCCGAGCGCCCGCGCGAACCGAGGACCGGGTCCCGGGAGAGGCCCGGGGCCCCTTTGTGCCGGGTCCCCGAGAGGCCCGTCGGTGTGAGCAGATGGGGCGCGTCCCACCCCGCGCGCGCGCACGCGCGGGCACGCGCGCAACCCGAGATGGCGGATGCAGCCCGACCCGCCCCCGGGTGGGCGAAGCGGCGCCCCCGCGCGCCCCCAGGCCGAGCCCGCCAGAGTGCCCGCCGCGCCCCCGACCGACGGAAGGTGGCGCTTTAACACAACACCTTCGTGGGCACGTGGGCTCCTCTATTCTTTTCCCTTACTCCCTTTCTCTGAAGCCAAGAAATCCATTGAAAGCCCGAGAGGTTTGCATGCTCCCTCCCCCGTTTGCATGTTTCTGTTTCATCCTTTTGCTCCATGCGTTTCCCCTCCTCCGTGGGGTTCGGAGACGCCGGGTGCGGATTTGCCTGCGCCCGGCTCCGCGCGCTCGATTTCGCCCGCCCCGCCGCAGGCGGGGGCCGGAGTAACGGTCAGTGGGGTTTGGCCGCGGCCGGGGCCCCGCGTCCAGTCTGGCCACTTCCGATGCTGCTGCGAGCTGGGCCCGGGGGCGACGAGCTTCAGCACAACCCCGCCTAGGCGTCACCTGTCCCCCTCGCTCATCCTCTCCCAAGCCCCTCCCCGCGGCTCCCGCTCTCCCTCCCCGGCCCTCCTCTGCCTCTTGGTCCCCTCCCCCTTCCCGGTCGCCAGCGCCCTCCCGAGCAGCCTCCTCCAGAAATCTAGCAAGGAGCTAGCTAGATTCTGGGTCATTCGCCTTTTAGGTGAACAACACAAATAACAAGAGAAAACCGGGTGCACCCCAAGTTTCGAGTCGAAATATTTCGTCTGTCTGTGAAGAGGTGACACGGACTGCTCTCGGCACGTCGACGCAGGGAGCAGGCTGCATTATGTAAAGCAGCCCCAGGACCCGGTGATCTCGCTGTGCTACTTCCAAACCCGTTTTTCTTTGTGTCTTTATTTAGTTCCTGTTACCCATCTACGGATATTCTGGGGGCAATTAAAAGAAAGCCGCCGCTTCCTACTCATTGTCTGTCGTCATCCCTGTCTTCACACCCTCCAGCGTTGGGTAGCTGGCAACTTTGACTAGTTCCCTAAGCTACTGCCCAGAGTATTTTACAAGACAAGTCAGCTGCAAAGACTAAGAAAATTATCCAAAGCCGCTTCCTTTCAGGAGCCCTCCCTGCAAATCTTACTGCATTACCTAAGCATTGTATTCCCCGCCCCTCCCCCACCCCAACCCCCGGACTTGAATAACACAGTGGTACCATGTTTTCACAGAACATTATTTGAAAAAAAAAAAAAATGACCACATCACTACCCCCACAGCCTCCCTCATATTCTTCCTAAAGAAAAACACTGCACCCAATACTTGTAATCTTCAGGCCAAAAATTCTGGCAATTAATTTTTTTAGGGCTATGGAAACCAAAGAATTTACAGTCATTTATACCTGGCGACCTGCAGTCTGAAGCTATAAGAAAGCCCAAGGCAGGGTGTGAAAATTCATGGTCACTCCCCCAAGGCGAGCGCTGCATCTTATTTTTCTCTCACCTCATACATTTTCAAACTACTGGGGACACCATGGAGGGTGGAGTGGAGAGAATGGTGAATTTGCACCCCTTTTTCCCAACACATGCCAGATCCACACTCTATAGAGGGCTGGGAATAATTTAGCTCAGTTGCATGATTTTCATGCAAACTATCTGGGCACCAGGCATTTCAGACTCTGAGAAAATCTGCGTTTGAAAATCTTTGGCAAATCCAATATGTATCTGCTTTCTTCACCCTATAGCAAAGATTATGTTTACGTTTCCAATGAGAATTATACAAGCATAGCAGGACTGAAAAATAATGGGTTTTATTCTCATAGTGCTCTGATCTTCATAGAGAAGATAAAAGTTACATTTTAGTCTTTCAAATAAGGTATATACAAGAAAGCTGGATCATTTGTTTGAGGAGATAAAGCCAGAGGAAGGGGGTTTGTCTTAGTGTGAGGATCAGAGGAAGTCCTGTGACCGCGTCTTTCAATGAACACTGCAGAGAAGAGGTGGTAAAGCAGGCATGGGGCTTGCACGGGAAAGGGGACCTGAGCCGCCTTTCAGGCTAGGCTGTAGACATGGTGACAATTTGCAGGCAGAATTGCCTGGATTGCTATTCTGTTAACAGGGATCCACCCAACAATTTAATGTTCCTGAATTCAGGGAGGATTTCCAGTGAGGAAAGGAAAAGAGAACTAAATAACTCATCCATATACTTCTTGTTCTTTTTTGCTTGCTAAGGAAGATTTTGAAAATCAATATAACATTTTTGAAAGAGAAATGGGAACACGTTTGAGATGTTGCATGCCTTCTTGCAGGAAGAGTATTTACTCATGAAAAACAGATGTTTGCGCCATCATCAGTAAGCAACTATTGAAAGGTGTTTTAAGCTAATAAACAGAAAATGTGGCCTTCTCTAACGATACACCTCTTGAAAGTCCAATTTGGTAAAGTGGACATTTGTCTGCTATTTTTTAAACCACTGACTATCTCAGGATTGAGCCCATCAGTCATATTTTTAGAGCAAATATACACTTCATTTTTGTGTGTATATCTATCACTGTACTTATTTTATAAGCAAAATAAGCAATTTTCCTACTAACAATAAACATTGTTGTATAGATAATTGATGTTCAGAGTCTTAAGACTGACATTCGATTAGAGCCATAAATGACTGCTTTATGGCTATTACTATTATTATCTTTTTACAATTGCATCTTTACAAAAAACTTCATTTATACGGACTATTGTATAAGGGGCTAAGACATTCTACAAAATCTTTCACAATCAGGACAAATAGGAAATGTTTCCTTTTTCTCTGAGGAAGGAACAATTTGCTGAGCAAATAATACACTGAAGATACCACTGGGTAATATCCCACACATTGACTTGGACACGCCCTTTTTGGAAGTGTTCTCGGGATGCTGGAAGGATGCCACGCAGAAGGGCTCTTTCCTTTTCTTCTCTCTAGGCCCACTCTCCCAAATGCGTCCCTCCATCCCTCCACATCCAGCTGCATCCTCACATCTCTGCCTCCGATCTGAGTCCACAATCTGGATCTGAGCATCTTCTGTCAACAGGACAGCCTCCTTGAATGGCCCTCAGAAGTGGTAACGGGTATACTCACCCCAACACACACACACACACACACACACACACACACACCCCAGGCTTCACTGCTGCTCTTGATGTAAATCCTAACCTGGTGAAATTTATCACAGAATACATGAGGATGAAAATAGAAATGTGGGCGCCCTCTCAGAATCCTTACCTCACACACATCCTGACACACAGATCTCCCAAGGTGAATAGTTGTGTTTCAAAGAATCCTACAAGGCCTGTATGATTGACTGCTGCCGAACTCGAAATCTCCTCTTGTCCCAGTCTTCTCGCCCTGCCTTAAAGATTATGCATTTTCTTCTGCCCACCTAGAACTTGCTTTTCACCTGACCTTCGCGTCCCGAGCTCCTTCATAGCAGTCAGACCTCAGGGACTGTGCTTCCAGGTGCCTCCTGAGCCCCTGCTGCCCCTCCCCCCAACACACGCTGCCAGTGGCTGTCAGGACCCTGCTCCGTTCCTCATAACACACTTCAGTAGCCAAAATCACCTTGTTGGCATTCTCACTCGTTTATTCTCTGAATCACCCAGCTAGCGGTGTGCTCCACGACAGCAGTACGGAGATGGAGCAGTGGGGCTGAACGACACGGGGCAGGGACTCTGAAACTTAGGAAGCACAATTTTACAGCCATCATGACCTCCTCCCTGCAGAGCAGATGCAAAAGTAGAAACCAAAGTGTCACAAATCAGTATCTCTCCTTATTACATGCAATTCAGGCTGCTTTTCCATTTCCTTCCGTTAAACAATGTTGGTAAAACCCACTGAATTGACTTATTAATGAGGTGCTATTGAAGTTGGAAAACTCTGGCTTAGGTGTTGAGAGCTAAGTCTCTGGAATACTCTGCCTTGGACTGAAAATTCTGGATCCATCGTCTTGTGTTTCTTTCCTTTCCTCCTTCCTTTTCAGTGGATGTCATCAGGTAGCCCTTGACGCTTGTTTCATAATAAAGAGAAAAATTCCACAAACCTCAAATCTGCCTCCCCTGAAATTCAGGTCTTGTCTTTTTTTTATTATGCATGTGAGCTATGTGTTCATTTTTTTAAAAAATAGGCTTTATTTTTTTAGAGTCGTTTTATATTTATAACAAAATTGCATGGAAGGCACAGAGAATCCCCACGCGTCACCTGTCCTCACACAGTCACAGCCTTCCCCACGCCCCACCCCCACCTGAGTTGTGCTCCAGCTGAGGCACTTATAGTGACACATCATTAGCACCCCCAAGTCTACAGTTGACGTTGGGCTCAGCCTTGGTGGTGTACGTTCTTTGGGACCTGACACATGTGCAATGACAGGTGCCCACCATTATAGCTTCATACAGAGTAGTTTCACTGCCCTAAAATCTCCCGTGCTCCCTCCTGAAAACCATCTCTTCTTCACTACCCAACCCCTGCCAACCGCTGATCTTTTTAGTCTCCACAGTTTTGCCTTTTCCAGGTCATATAATTGGAATCATACACCATGTAGCATTTTCTGATTGGTTTCTTTCACTTAGGAACAAGCATTTAGGGTTCCTCCCTGTCTTTAACGGCTCTATAGATTATTTCTTTGTAGCACTGAATAATATTCTATGGTCTGGATGGGCCAGAGATTATCCATCACCTACTGGCTGCTTCCTCGCTTTGGCGATTGTGAATAAAGCTGCTATAAACATCTGTGTGCAGGGTTTTGTGTGGACATGAGTTTTCAGTTCTTTGGGATCAATACCAAAGAGTTTGATTTCTGGATCGAGTGGTAGGAGTTCGTTGAGTTCTTACTGCTCCACATCCTCACCAGCATTTGGTGTTGTCGTGTTCTGAATTTCGGCCATTCTAATAGTGTGTGGTGGTATCTCATTGTTTTAATTTGCATCTCCCCGATGACAAATGATAGGGAACATCATTTCATATGCTTAGTTGCCATCTGTATATCTTCTTTGATGAGGTGTCTGTTCAGGTCTTTTGCCCATTTTAAAATCAGATTGTTTATTATTTTTTATTGTTGCGTTTTAAGAGTTCTTTGTATATTTCAGAAGACAGTCCTTTATCAGATGTGTCTTTTGCAGATGTTGTCCCCAGTCTGTGGCTTTTCTTCTCATTCATTTTACAGTGTCCTTTAAGCAAGTTACTTAACCCCCTTGCCTCGGTTTTCTCATTTATAAAGTGGGATGATAGTGACTACCTCTTAAAGTTGTTATGATGATCGAAAACATACCAAGTGCTTAGCACATTACCTGTACATTGCAACATGTCCACAAATGTTATTAGTGTTATTATTTTAACGTTCCTTTTCCCAATGCCTAAACACTTCTTGGCACACAGTAGCTGTTCCATAAATGCTGACTGAGTGACTGAATGTTCACCTTCATCCACATCCCCCGTGAGGTCAGTCAGGGCTGCCACCTAAACCCCTCCCGAATCCATCCCTTCCTGTCGTTTCCACTAGCACCATGTGCACACAGGTTCTCCTGAGTTTCATCCACAGACACCCCACTGGTCTCCCCACGCCCACACTGCAACCAGACTCTTCATTCCAACGTGGCTTGGACCCTAGGAGTCCCAACTTCACGTTCAGTGAAGCCCTTCACCCTTGAACAAAACCCACTCCCCTTGGCAGTGCAAGCAAAGCGTGACTTGTTTCCTTCGGCCTCGATAGCATCATCTCATCACAATTAACCAGCACACAGAGGGGCGTAGTGCGGTGGCTTTCACCCTTATTTTGACCATGACACATGAAATACATTTTTACACCGTGACCCTGAACACACGCTCCACACACATAAGCCCGAAGCTAGTACAGGATGGGTGTGTGTGGATCCAGACAGAGCCGCTTCCTGTGGCCACTGTGGTCCT